AAAAATTTTTAAAAATCAAAACTATATTAAGTATCTTTTCAGACCTCAATGGGATAAAACTAGAAATCAATAACAAGGGAAACTTTGGGAACGGCATAAACTCACGGAAATTAAACAACATACTCCTGAATGACCAATGGGTCAATAAAGAAATTAAAAAGCAAATTTTTAAAAATTTATTGAAATTAATGAAAATAGAAACACAACATGCTGGCCAGGTGTGGTGGCTCACACCTGTGATCTCAGCTCTTTGGGAGGCCGAGGCCAGTGGATCACCTGAGGTCAGGAGTTCAAGACCAGCCTGGCCAACATGCTGAAACCTCGTCTCTACTAAAAATAAAAATTTAGCTGGGCGTGGAGGCAGGCACCTGTAACCCCAGTAACTCAGGAGGCTGAGGCAGGAGAATTGCTTGAATCTGGGAGGTGGAGATTGCAGTGAGCCAGGATCATGCCACTGCCCTCCAGCCTGGGCGACAGAGTGAGACTCTGTCTGAAAAAAAGAAAAGAAAAGAAACATAACATACCAAAACCTATAGGATACAGCAAAAGCAGTATAAGAGGGAAGTTTATAGCAATAAACACCTACGCCAAAAAGTAGTAAATTTTGAAATTAACAACCTACTGATGCAACTCAAGGAACTAAAGAAGCAAGAACAAACCAAATCCAATATAACTAGAAGGGAATACATAATAAAAATCAGGGCAGAAATAAATTAAAAACTAAAAACAATACAAAAGATCAATGAAACAAAAAGCTGACTTTTTAAAAAGATAAAATTGAAAAACCATTAGTTAGACTACCTAACAAAGAAAGATCTGAATAAATCAAATTAAAAATGAAAGAGGAGACATTAAAACTGATACCACAGAAATACAAGAATCAGGCTGGGTGCGGTGGCTCACACCTGTAATCCCAGCACTTTGGGAGGCTGAGGCGGGTGGATCAACTGAGGTCGAGAATTCGAGGGCAGCCTGACCAACATGGAGAAACTCCATCTTCACTAAAAATAGAAAATTAGCTGGGCACAGTGGTGGGTGCCTGTAATCCCAGCTACTTGGGAGGCTGAGGCAGGAGAATCACTTGAACCCGGGAGGCAGAGGTTGTGGAGAACCGAGATTGTGCCATTGCACTCCAACCTGGGCAACAAGAGGGAAACTCCGTCTCAAAAAAAAAAAAACAATGATCATTAAAGACTATTATAAACAACTCTATGCCAACAAATTGGAAAACCTAGAGGAAATGGGTAAACTCCTGGACACATGCAACCTATCAAGATTGAGCCAGGAAGAAGGAGAAAACCTCAATAGACCAATAACAAGGAACACAACTGCATCAGTAACAAAAGTCTCTCAACAAAGAGGAACCAAGAACTGGATGGCTTCATCGCCAAATCTACCAAACTTTCACAGAATTGATGTGGATTCTTCTCATACTATTCCAAAAACATGAAAAGGAGGGAATTCTTCCAAATTCATTCTACAAGGCCAATATTACCCTAATAAAAAACCCAGACAAGGACAGAACAAAAAAAAAAAAAAAAAAAGAAAACTACAGGCTAATATTCCTGATGCACATAGATGCAAAAATCTTCAACAAAACAGTAGTAAACCAAATCCAACAGCACACCAAAAAGATTAATACGCCATGATCAAGTGAGATTTATCCCAGCGATCCAAGGATGATTCAATATACACAAATCAATAAACATGACACATCACACAAAGAGAATGAAAAACAAAAATACATGATCATTTCAATAGGCACAGAAAAAGCATTTGATAAAATTCAACATCCCTTCATGATAAAAACTCTCAACAAATTAGGCATAGAATAAATTTACCTCAGCACTATAAAGTCTACATATGACAAACCTATAGCTAACATTATGAGGAAAAGTTGAAAGCTTTTCCTCTAATAGTTGGAATGATATAAAGGTGTCTACTTTCCCCACTACAATTTGACACTGTACTAGAAGTCCTAGCCAGAGCAACTAGGCAAAATTAAAAACAAAGGGCATTCAAATTGGAAAAAAAGGAAGTCAAATTGTCTTTTTGAAGACAAGGTGATCTTATCTGTGGAAAAACCTAAAGACTCTGCCAAAAACTCTTAGAACTGACAGACAAATTCAGTAAAATTTCAGGATACGAAATCAACATACAAAAATTATTAGCATTTCTATACACCAATAACAAACTAGCTGAAAAAGAAACCAAGAAAGCAATTACATTTTCAATAGCTATAAAAAATATTATGTAGGAATAAAACTAACCAAGAAGGTGAAAGATCTCCACAATAAAAACTATGAAGTACCAATGAAAGAAATGGAAGAAGACACAAAAAAATGGAAAGAAATATCATGTTCATGGATTGAAAAGATTAATATAGTTAAAAATGACCATACCCAAATTGATCCACAGATTCAAAGCAATCCCTATCAAAACACCACTGACGTTCTTCACAGAAATAGAAAAAATAATCCTAAAATGTGTGTGGAACCACAAAAGACCCAAACAAACAAAGTAATCCTGACTAAAAAGGACAAAGCTGGTGGCATCACATTATCTGACTTCAAAATACACTGTAAATATACTGTAACTAAAGCAGCATGGTACTGGCATAAAAATAGGTACATGGATCAATGAAACAGAATAGAGAACCCAGAAATAAATCCACATATTTACAGCCAACCGATTTTTAACAAAGGCACCAAAAACAAACATTGGGGAAAGAACAGTCTCTTCAATAAATGGTGCTGGATAAACTGGATATCTGGATGTGCAGAAAAATGAAATAAGACCCTTATCTCTCACCGTATACAAAATTCAACTCAAAATGGACTAAAGATTTAAATATAAGACTCTGAACTATAAAACTATTAGAAGAAACTAAAAGGAGAAATACTTCAGGACATTGGTCTGGGGAAAGATTTTAAGGATATAATCTCCAAAGCATAGACAACAAAAGCAAAAATAGACAAGTGGGATTATATCAAACTAAATACACACACACACACACACACACACAAATAATCTGATTTAAAAATGGGAAAATGATCCTGAATGGATATTTCTCAAAAGAAAGCATTCAAATGACCAAGAAGTATATGAAAAAATGCTCAACATTACTAATCATCAAATGCAAATCAAAAACCACAGTATGATATAATATCATTCCAGTTAGAATGGCTATTAACAAAAAGACAAAAAAAAAAAAATCAAATGCTGGCAAAGATGCAGAGAAAAGACAACTCTTATACACTGTTGGACTTATAAATTACTATAGCCATTATTGAAAAAAGTATGGAGGTCCCCCTAAAACCTATAACTAGAACTACAACATGATCCAGCAATCTCACTATGGGGTATAAATTTTTAAAAAAGGAAATCAGTATGTTGAACAGATATCTGTACTCCCATGTTTATTGCAGCCCTATTCACAATAACCAAGATAAAAGTATCCATTAACAGATGAATGGATAAAGAAAATGTGTTATATATACCCAATGGAATACTATTTGACCATAAAAAGAATGAGATCTTGTCATTTGCAACAACACTGATGAGCTTGGAGGACTTTATGTTAAGTGAAATAAGCCAGGCACTGAAAGGTAAATACATGTTCTTACTCATCTTCTCCACATGTTCTTACTCATTTTCAGAAGCTAAAAAAGTTGATCTCATAGAAGTAGAAAGTAGAATAGCGATTATTAAGGCTCGGGGGTGGGGGGGGTGGGATAGGGAGAGATTGTTTAAAGGATACAAAATTATCAGTAGACAGGGAAAATAAGTTATTGTGTTCCATAGCACTGTAAGGTGACTACAGTTAACAATAATTTATTGTATATTTTCAAATAGCTAGAAAAGGGGATTTTGAACATTCCCAGGGCAAATAATAGATGTTTGAGAAGATGGATATACTAGTTACCTTGACTTGATAATTATACATTGTATGTATCAAAATATCACTCTGCACCCCATAATTATGTACAATTTTTGTCAATTAAAATATTTTAAAAGATAATTTAGTTTAATATTTTGTTTCACAAAGAAGCTAAGGCTAAAGGAGGTTACATGACTAGACAAATACCGCACAGAGAGTGGGTGTTAAAACTGGACTAAAATCTAGTTTTTTGGGTTTTGCTTTTGTTGTTGTTGTTGTTGTTGTTTGTTGTTGTTGTTGTTGCTTAAGACAGAGTCCCATGCTCTCACCCAGGCTGGAGTGCAGTGATGCAATCATAGCTCATTGCAACCTTGACCTCCTGAGCTCAAGCAATCCTCCACCTCAGCCTCCCGAGCAGCTGGGACTACAGGTGTATTTCACCACTTCTGGCTAATTTTAAAAAAAAAGAATTTGTAGAGACAGAGTCTCTTTTTGTTGCCTACGCTGGTCTTGAACTCCTGGGCTCAAACAATCCTCCTGCCTTTGCCTCCCAAAGTGCTGGGATTACAGACATGAGTCACTGTGCCTGGCCCTAAAGTCCAGCTTTTTGACAATTTTTTATTCTCTACTGAAAGCTAACAAGGTTTTGAAAGTGTGGCAATTAGATTAGAAAGTTTCAAATAAGGCCAGGTGCAGTGGCTCACACCTGTAATCCTACCATTTTGGGAGGCCAAGGTGGGCGGATCACTTGAGGTCAGGAGTTCAAGACCAGCCTAGCCAATATGGTGAAACCCCTGTCTCTACTAAAAATACAAAAATTAGCTGGGCATGGTGGTGCACACCTATAATCCCAGCTGCTAGGGAGGCTGAGGCAGGAGAATTGCTTGAACCCGGGAGGCAGAGGTTGCAGTGAGCTGAGATTGTGCTACTGTACTCCAGCCTGGGTGACAGAGCAAGACTCTGTCTCAAAAAAAAAAAAGAAAAAGAAAAGAGAAAGTTTCAAATAAAGCTATTGTAGTGAATCCATGCCAACATTTTTAAAAAGGGAAAGAAAATTCCATATTTTGTGAATGATTTTAGCAAAAATCTTATCTACAAGGAAACGTAGTTATTTTCTCACCTTCAAAAATTTTGCTTGGAGTTGCAATAATGCATCTGTTCTTCTCCGTTCTTTTAATTTAGTCAAAAGCTTCCTTTGCCACAGATCACATTTTGGCTTGATCTAGTGGACAAACACGTTCACACAAAGTTACAACATAACAGAATGATTCTCAATAAAAGTTGCAGGCAAAGAGATTCAAGGACCTTCTGAAATGGTATCTGGCTTTGGTGCTAGGTTGGCTAGGACAAGTGAGCTTTTGGAAAGGGTCTTCATGGGTTCACAGATCCATTGAAGGAGACAGCAGCACCAGTTCCTGTTGGTGCCTGGCCTATAAGATGCAGTAGATCCATCTGGGGTGACACCATAACATTCACAAGCAGCAGGAACCCTAAATCCATCAGAGTTGGTCATTGCACTTTATTTACAGGGCAAAAGAAGTTCACCCACAGACTCCTTGTGGCTCCACATTTAAAACATCTTTCATATTAATAAACTGTATTTCAAAAGTAAGTTCTGTTGCTGTAAATACCATTAACACTCAAATTTATATCTCAGCCCTAAACTCCAGCCTATTATATCCAACTACTCCTTTGATATCTATTCTTGGATATCAAGCGTAACCATCTAAAACAGAAAGTCCAGCTTCCCTTACATGGACTACCTTGTTCCTCAAGCACTAAATGGACTTAGGAGCAATCTTCGATTTCTCTCAGTCTATCTTTATTTACTCCTATGGTCTGAATGTGTTCTTCTAAAATTTAAATGATGAAACCTAACGCCCAAGGTGATGGCATTAGTAATAGAATTTGGGGATGTGATTAGATCATGATGGTAGAGCTCTCATGAACAGTATTCATGCCCTTACAAAAGAGGCCTGAGGGACTTTGGCTTTTTTCTTCCACCGTGTGAGGATATGGGGGAAGTCAGAAGTCTATAGCTTGGAAGAGGACCTTCCAGAACTTGACCATGCTGGCCCCCTGATCTTGGACTTCCCAGTCTCCAGAACTGTGAGAAATATATTTCTGTTCTTTATAAGCTACCCAGTTAATGGTATTTTGTTAAAGCAGCCTGAATAGACTAAAACAATCATACAAGATTTATTTTATTTTATTTTATTTTTTGAGATGGAGTCTCACTCTGTCGCTAGGCTGGAGTGCAGTGGCACAATCTCGGCTCACTGCAACCTCCACCTCCCGGGTTCAAGTGATTCTCCTGCCTCAGCCTCCTGAATAGCTGGGACTATAGGCACCCACCACCACACCCAGCTAGTTTTTGTATTTTTAGTAGAGAGGGGGTTTTACCATGTTAGCCAGGATGGTCTCAATCTCTTGACCTCATGATCCGCCCACCTTGGCCTCCCAAAGTGCTGGGATTACAGGCATGAGCCACCGCACCTGGCCCAGATTTTTCTTTTCTTCATAATACAATCAATCCTTGTTGTTTGCGGATTCCACATTTGTGATTTTGCCTACTATCTAACATTTTTTGTGACCCAAAACTCAATACTAGTGGAGCTTTCATAGTCACTCATAGGCGTGTGCAGGGTAGTGAAAATTTGCGTCACCCTATGCGCATATTCTCAACTCAATTTGAACAAGGCAACACTCTGTCTTCTTGTTTCTGCTTGCATATTACTAACAAGGATCCTTTTCGTGGTCCGTTTAGTGCCACATTCTTCACATTTTTGTGCTTTTTGGTGGTCATTTTACTGTTGAAAATGGTCTCCACGGGTAGTGCCAAAGTAATGTCTAATGTTTCTAAGCATAAGAAGGCTGTGTGATGTGCCTTTCGGAAAAACTACATGTGTTAGATAAGCTTCATTCAGGCATGAATTATAGTGCTGTTAGTCATTAGTTCAATGTTAATGAATCAACAATATATTTTAAATAAGATGTCATTAAACAGAAACACACGTAAAACAGTTATGTATTGATGAGTGTTCCGATGAGAGGTTCACAGGAACTCACTCTATTTCCCCTAGAGGTAACGATTCAATGTTTGCTAACTCAGTGTTCATGGTGACTTTCCAGAGCAAAACTACCTTGAATAACAGGAACTGACCATAGTCAGCACTACCTAAAATCATCTTATTTAGTTTGCTTACTTGCATATTGTTTGTGAATTGTGTATCTCCAGCATGAAGGGCCATACCTGATATACAATATGTACCAAATAGTTTTTGACTCAACGATTGGATTTACACAAGTCAATCACACCCTTGGATAATAAGCTTAGCTCTTGCCAAGTATCTGAGATCATTAGTAATATGCAGGGAGTTTGGGCCCATCAGAGTGGGGTACAGGCATCTGGAAAACCTTCAGGGAAGGCAGATCAGCAGAGCAAACTTCGACACAGAGCCAAGGCAGGCAAAGAGCTGGAAGAGTGTGGCACACAAGGCCAGGTTCTCTCAGTTGCCTCAACTGAGGACACGGAAGCGTCTCCCCTAGTCAAAGAGGACAGTTCGCTGAGGGCACTAAGGAGACAGGACAACAGGGACAACATAAACCTGGTGCTGCCAGGTTGCCTAGCCTGCTTAGATGACACTGTGACACTGCTGACATCACTGATAGATGACTATCGCCACAAGTCTCCTTACCGTTAGGAAGGAAATCCAGTTGGCTCTCTTTTTCAGGGTCATTCTGGGTCCTGCCAAGCCCAAATTATCTGCTTTAGCTATTCCAGCTTCATAGTCTGGAAACGTTTGCAATCTCTGTTGCTCCATGAAGATGCTTTGAAATTTTTGGGAAACCTAAACAGGATGAAGTGAGAAGTGGAACCCAGAAAGAAAAAGTCTCAGAGAGTGGGCAATTTCAAAAACAGCTACTGATTGTCTTTGAAATAGCCTTGGAATCAAACTAATTTATAAAACACGACTCTGTGACAGTGACAAGACCTTAAATGGGCATACCTGTGTGGCGCATGTTCTCAGTCAGCTCATTACCATAATTGTGTGTATTACCTGTTCTGAACGTCTGCTCCAGCGACTGGAAATATATTAATGTATTTATTTATATATATTTTGAACTGGAACCTAAATATAAGTGAGAAGTAAATTGTCTACCTTTGGAAATGCATTCACTTTTTCCGACCACCCAGTAAACTATTATAGACTATCTAAGGATTAAAAAATCCTGCTCTCAGAGGCCTGACAAGGATGTGGCTAGAGAGGAGTCCAGATGCTAGAACCTGTTAAACTCTTTAAGGCATCTCAACCTATTCCTTTCATAGCTTACTTTCAGACTGAGGCTACAAGTGCTTTCTACAACATCAATTCCTACTGTCAAAATGCTAAACATTCCTTCTTCCCCCTCCAGGGTGAGCCCCTGTGGTGGCACCTTTATCATTATATTTGCCACGTTGTGTCAGGATTTCCTCACTACATGGTGAGCCCCATTCAGGGTATAGACTCTGAATGTCAAGAATTCACCACAAGGTGGTGGCCACACAACAATGTGAGTGTACTTAACGCCACTGAACTGAACACTTACAATGGCTAAAATGGTAAATTTCGTTATGTTATTTTACCACTCATGCGTGCACATGTACACACACAGTAAGAACCTACCACAGTGCTGACACATACTAGGGCCTCAACAAAGGTTTCTGGAATGAGTGAGCAAATTTGTGAGTCACAGAGCTGAAGATTCTTCTAGTAATAACGCTGCTACCTCTGAGTTTGGGCTATCCAGTGCTGTTGCCCCTAGCCACATGTGGCTGTTTAACATTATTAATTAATTAGAATTAAATGAAATTTGAAATCTTGTTCTTCAGTTGCGCTAACCACATTCCAAGTGCTCAGATAACTATTAGTGTATGTGACTAGTGGTTAACGTGGGACAGTGCAAAGGCAGAACGCATCCATCGCTTCTGTAAGTTCAGTGGGACAGTGCTGTTCTGACTGGGTTGGCAAACTCCTTAAAGGGCCAGATCGTAAGTATTTTAGCCTTTACTGACCACAAGGTCTCTGTCACAGCTACTCAAGTCTGCTGTTGTAGTGTGAAAGCAGCCATAGAAAATACATACATGAATAGGCATGGCTGTTGTTAGGGTCTGAATGTTTGTGTCCCCACAAGATTCATGTGTTGAAATCCTAAACCCAAAGTGATGGTATCAGGAGATGGGAATTTGGGGAGGTGATTGGGTCATGAAGGTGAAGCCTTCACGAATAGGATTAGTGCCCTTATAAAAGCAGCCTGAGAGACTCCTGCCTTCTACCATGTGCGGACACAGCAAGAAGGCACCACCTATGAGCCAGAAAGTGGGCCCTCGCCAGACATCAGACTACCTTGATCTTGAACTTTCCAGCCTCCAGAACCGTAAGAAATACATTTCTGTTGTTTAGAAGCCACTCCGTTTATGGTATTGTGTTAGAGCAGCCTGAATGAACCTAAGACTGCTGTATTCCAAAACAACTTTATTTTAAGAAAACAGGTGAGGGCTGTAGTTTGCTGACCCTGCTCTCAGGCATTAGAGTATCAGAATAAACAGCACCTAAACATAGGAACTCTTCCTAGGCAAAAAAGTTGATGTAATGCGACTGGTTATCTTGGAACACAGTTAGTGTTTCACCTAATACTGTCGTAAGAAAATTAAAAGTGGAAATTATCACCATAAAAAGGAGACAAGCTGCTCTTTGGGAAAAGCATGGCTTTGTTGGAGTGCTCCGCCAGGCTTGTGTTCTCTCATTTATCATTAATAATAGTCTCCTGGGCTATAATTAACCTTTATTTTTTTGGTTCTTCTTAAACACCATCATATTCTGATTCTGTGTTTCGCCTGTCATAATCCTTGATGATAATAAGGGTGAGGACACTCCCACAGAAACACTCTGCTGGAGATAGTGCTGCTGGTGGCATGAAAAGAAAGGCAAAAGCTAAACATCATCACCTTCAAGGAAACAAGAGGACATGTGATACCACTGGGTCCAGTGAGCTTAAAGAGGCTGTCTGTGTTACACACTAATAAAAATCATCCTGGGCCGGGAGCGGTGGCTCATGCCTGTAATCCCAGCTCTTTGGGAGGCCGAGGCGGAAGGATCACTTGAGGTCAGGAGTTCAAGACCAGCCTGGCCAATGTAGTAAAACCCTGTCTCTACTAAAAATACAAAAATTAGCTGGGCGTGGTGGCACATGCCTGTAATCCCAGATACTCGGGAGGCCGAGGCAGGAGAATTGCTTGAACCTGGAAGGTGGAGGTTGCAGTGAGCTGAGATTGTGCCACTGTACTCCAGCCTAGGTGACAGATTGAGACTCTGCCTAAAAACAAAACAAAACAAAACACCCCCTCCACACACACACACAAAATCCTGGTAAAATTATGCTGGAACAAATGGAAATGCAAGTGAAATTTCAAACTCAAGCAAATGGTGATAGCACAGACAGTAGCTTACTTCTTACATAAAGAGCATTCAAAACTATTCAGATCTTATTTTTACCTGTTTGGATCCATCAATTTCTTATTTTTACCTAGCAAATATGTATACTTGCAAATAATATACAGCTAGAGCTAGAAAAATCTTTATTGTTGAAATTTTTGTTATTATAAATCTGAAGCTTGGCCAGGTGTGGTGGCTCATCCCAGTAATCCCAGCACTTTGGGAGGCCAAGGCGGGCAGATCACCTGAGGCCAGTAGTTCAAGACCAGCCTGGCCAATATGGCAACCCCATCTTTACCAAAAATACAAAAATTAGCTGGGCATGGCTGAGGCAGGAGAATCTCTTGGACCCAGGAGGCAGAGATTGCATTCAGCTGAGATTGCACTACTGCACTCCAGCCTGAGTGACAGAACAAGACTCCATCTCAAGAAAATATTTTTTAAACTCTGAAGCTATCTACCTATAGTCCTATTCTTCTCTTTGAAACAAGTTTTGTTTGTTTGTTTGTTTGTTTGTTTGAGACAGGTTCTCACTATACTGCCCATCCTGGGCTCAAGTGATCCCCTGCTTCAACCTCCCAAAGTGCTGGGATTACAGACATGAACCACCATGCCCAGCCCCCTTTGAAACAAGTTTTAACATAGCTTTTGATAATATGAGTTGTCTTCATTTCAGGAAGTACAACACTGTGTTATAGCAGAGAAGACTGCATGACTTTAAACATCACTACACAAGGTACCTGCTATTAAATATAAAGCATTTTGTCAATAAGGAAAGCTATTGCAATACATTTTGAGAATTGGAGGGCTTTTTTGCCCTCCAATTGACAATTCTGCCAAGCAAATTTGCCAAATATTTACATCATCTACTATAGACCATACACTACTTTTGCTTTAAGTTCTGCAGAAAAACAAGTCCTGAAATCCTTCTGGGTTCACTATTTGAGTCCCATTACTCTTACAGAGGAAACTTTTCCTAACTGCTAATCAAAATTTCACCTATTACTACTTTATATGATCACTCTTGAAACAATTGTTGGTAGTAAAAGGTGCAACTCTGTGGAAATTAGCAGTGCTTTCTTTCATGAACACTTATATTTGTATTAAGAAAGAGTATATCAAATACCAAGGAAAAAAGTTCCATTTCCTTAGCAGAGTCCCATAGCTCTTCCACGTCATATGGGATATCGAAATGGGACAGCAGGAGCTTCAGCTGAGGTTTCAGTTCTCCTGTTTCTGTTGTGTGTTGGGGGAGGACAAAAGCAGCTTCTGTTCTCATTAGCCCTGAGGAAAACCAAAATCAAGAGCATTAAGACCAATGAATACTGTCAGGGAGAGAAAATGGAGAGTCCTTTGAGACAGCTAGAAGTAGGAGCTCCTCTACTGACGGGATGCCCATTCTGCTCCTTTGCCAACATTTTCTGCCGCAATTTACAGTCTGCACCCTACTTGGCCAGGTGGATCTGACAAATTCTTGGAGCTGGGCTTTTGCAGGAGGCAGCAAGGACTCCTTGCCATCTCACAGCCTACAGGAGAAACCCAACAGACCTTTTGGGGAATGACTTGGAGCAGAATTGTCTACTTTGTGGTAAATGAAGAACATTATTTATAAATTTATCCAACAAATTAGAAGAAGGTGAGAGCCTTCAGCTGCTTTCACATAGCTAGCTCCCCCTCATCTCTAAGGACCCAGTTTGAACTCCCCTCCTTCAAGAAGCCTTCTCAGATGCCCCACAGCTGGGTTTGGCTACCTCTCCCAGGCACTCCCGGGACACTCTGTGCATCCAAGCAAGAATGTCACTCAGAGTAGAAATCTTATCAGGTTTCTTAGTCATCTATAACACAAGGTAAGGGCAGGAAAACTGCATTAATTTTATTCAGATGAAGAAATTATTTTAGATTTGTGTAATATGAAAACTGGAAGGAGCCTTAGAGATCACTGATTCTGAAAGGTGTATTATGGAGATGACCAAATTGAGGGCCAAGGAGATGAAACTCAGGCCCACAGTGAGGCCAGGACAGGAACAAGCCTAGAGCCCAGTACTGCTGACTTTAAGTCCATTTTTTTCTCTCACTCTTAACTTGCTAATTATAAAGACAGAGATTAAAACATGTCTTAAAAAGTGTTTGTTATTTTTTCCCATCTGAAAATATTAAATTAAGATTTGTCTATTAAGAAGATAAAACCTTTTGGTATATAGAACAATTTTTAGCAAGATCATGGGACAACCAGCATAAGTCTAAAATTACAATCTTCTTTGCTCCACATTACCCGAGGGGAAAGAAGACTAATTTCTTACCAGAAATGCTGGCATCCACAGGGTCAGGAGACGCAGCACCCTGAACGTCAGGGTCAATGTCATTGACACAGACCTTTTCATTTTTCTGACCAACTTCAGCGACTTGGTTGACAGCTACACTTAGCACTTTGGAGATGGGCAAATACTGAAGGGCCTACAGAAGGGCAAGACCAAGAGGCCAAACATCAACACAATTCTCACAGAAGCTTCCAGACTCAGGTTCAGGAGCAGCCCTTTGCTTTGGGAGGGAAGAATAGAAGTAGAGGTGGAGCCTCAGTAACCTGACCAATGATGAGGGGCTACATTTGGAGCTCGGAGACCTAGTACTGTTACTGACTCTGAGTGGCCTTAACCTCCAAACAGGTCTACTTTGATCAAGGATCCAAAATGGACAAGGCACTTGTGAGGTGCTAGGGATACAAAGAGGAATAAGACAGGATACAACCTCAAAGAGCTCACGGTTTACTAGAAGACCCAGACTTAGAAGCAGATTGTTATAACACCATGGGACTGGTGAGAAATGTATCAGAGGCAGAGCCCATAGTGGCTGGCTGGGTGTGGGGACAGGATGAAGCCAGGTTTCTGATTTGGGCAATTCCGTGGATGATGGTGTCTCTGAACTAAGGCAAAGAGAAGTAGGGAAAGATGTGTGTAGAAAAACAATAATCTTTCCAAAATGGAAATGTGATCATGTTACTCCTTTCTGACGCCTCTAGCCTGACTTAGGGCCTCTCTGTGACTCTCTTTACCCTATGCTTATACTTATCCCGTGCTTTGTTACCCCATTGTATTTCAGTTGAATATTTACTTACCCATCTTCCTACCAGCCGAGGACCTAGTTACTTTTCAGCAAAGGCCGTATCCTTGCTGCATGCCTAGGACAAGTACCTGGCACATATTAGACCCTCATTAAACATTACCTAATATTTAAAAAGTGGATCTAAATCAGAGAGCATAAATTCTGAACAAGATGATGAAGACAAGAACTTACAGAGTGAATATGAAATAGTACAACAGAGACATCTTTGAGAAAGCTAAATTAATTATTTCAGTAGAATAAAGTTACAAAAGAGAAAAATGTCTAAGGTTTCAAAGAGAAATCCAGTGACCCATTATGTTTCTGTCATTTGTAGGGTAGGTGGAGTCCTGAAACAGTGACAATCTAAAACTAAGTGACAGATGTGAGAAAACAATGTACTGATCACCCCTGGAAGGGTGCCACATCATCACGTCACTGTGCTTCACATACCTGCAGGTACTGGTGAACAGTCCTGAGAGACTGCAGGTGGCACACTAACCACTTTGTATAAACAGTCAGATCTTCCTGTGTCACTAAGTTAGGAGGATTGCTTTTTCCCATGAGGAAGTTTTCTCGCGCAACAGACAATCTTTCAGCTCTCTGAAGGGCATCATTGTACTCCTGCATAATGTAGCCAACTTGTTTCTGTTTAAGAGAGATACAGAGATAGAACTCGGTTATTTGCAAGCCTTATGCTCTGTATCATTTGCTTCCAAGCATAGGGTAATATTTTGGGTCTAAATAAAGGGGTTCTTTGAATCCCAAAGTTCTTCCATATTCTGAATTTGACTTAAAAGGGCAGTGGTCATATTCTTAGGACTTTGAAGGAGACAGACTCCAAGCAAAGAGTCAGTGCGTAGGGATACTTATAACAGGAGTCAGCTTCTGAACTTTTTACCTAAAGCTGAGGAAGCTAAGTCTGTGAAGAAAAATACATTTCCTCTCATACAAAACTTCCTTCAAATCTTTTTCTTAAGAATAGTTTACCTTTACCATTACCTTCTGCCATTGGCAGAACAGGTGAGAAGGCACATCCATTAATTTCTTTTCTATCTTTAGCTGTGACTTTTAAAAAACTGACAAGCTTATTGGCCATTTTGTTTCAATATAAAAAATAGCCCAGACGTTCTGTTCATAGACTTCCTACCTTGTAAAGAGGATAAAGTTGCTCCATGATCTTACTGTGTTGGCAAAACCTCTTCCACCTAAGCATGTGTAAATATTTACTCTGGGCCAGCTGGGTAATTCTTTCTGTGTAATACTTTAACAAGAAAAACAAGCACTTAGAGAAGGAAGATTGAATAAGTCTTAATAACACTAACAAGAGGAAAATCAGTCTCTGGTTGTTTTGGAAAGATTATTTTTCTATATGAAGACCATAACATTAAGAAGTCTGGCTCGGCCGGGCGTGGTAGCTCACGCCTGCAACCCCAGCACTTTGGGAGGCCAAAGTGGGTGGATCCCCTGAGGTCAGGAGTTTGAGAGCAGCCTGTTCAACATAGCGAAACCCCGTCTCTACTAAAAACACAAAAAATTAGCTGGGCATGGTGGCAGGTGCCTGTAATCTCAGCTACTCGGGAGGCTGAGGCTGGAGAATCACTTGAACCCGGGAGGCAGAGGTTGCAGTGAGCCGAGATCACGCCATTGCACTCCAGCCTGGGCAACAAGAGTGGAACTCTGTCTCAAAAAAAAAAAAAGTCTGGCTCAAGATAGTATTCAAATTGAAATAAAGTTAGTAGACATTTCTAAGTCTTTATGATCTGTTGCCAAGTCAATAGATGTAAGCTAATTTCTCAGTTACCAAACAATTTTAGCAGTGACATAAAAGTCTGTCAAGTTATCTAAAGCTGAGCCTAAAATTTTTTATTAAAAACTGAAATTATGAGTCAAAAATACAGAGTACATTACAGGTAGGATTATAGCTTTTAATCTCAGATCAGAAATTTTATTTATACCTAAAAATGTTTAATTTTTTAAAGATTTTCTTTCTGATAATAAAAATAATACTGACTATGATGGAATAACCAGAACCAGACTTACCCTTTTATCATAAACAACTAGAAAATTGGACACAATATATAAGGCAACTGTTTTCTGACATTGGACAACAGGCAGTGCAGGACTCTGGTCCCTGAGAGAAGGACACAAATCATGTAGGCCCTGCAATCACCTTGGTTTCCTACCTGAAGGCAGTTTCTGAGCCATGGAGCAAGAAAGGGAATCCTAAGCAGAGTAGATGATATTTCTGAGTTAAAGAAAGAGAAACTGAAATTTGGAAAATTGAGTCAGCCGAAGTTTCCAGGAGACAAGGAAGCCATGCAAAGAAAGGATTCTAGAAATCTGCGTCAAGATCCCTTTCAGTCTGTTGCTGAATACTAAGCCAAGCATGTAGAAGGTGAAACTCCAGCTAGTTGTCCAAAGAATAACTGACTAGGGAATTGTAAACTGAACAGTTCCGAGTTCATATGAGGCTGAGAGATGTTCAAGTCCAACCAGCTAGAGTGAGGGCTTTTCACTGAATATCTGGGACATTCAGTAAAGACATCAAAAGCTTTAGTGAAAGGATAAACTATGCCTAGAGTAATGATTCTAAACCTGCTCCAACAATCCCTAAGCCTTGAAAGGATTAAGCTGATCTGTAAGTAACTTAACTGCCTACCAGAATAAAGTCCAACAAGCTCTAAATAATACAAAAAATCTGGTACTTAATAATGAAAAATTTACAATTTTCAGCATTCAAAAAAAAATTACTAGACATGCAAAGAAAGAGGGAAGCATGATTCAAAAGCAAAAGAAAAATTAGGGATGAGAAACAGGCCCAGAAATGACAGAGATGATGAAAGTTACCAACAAGAACTTTTAAAGAACTATTGTAAATATGCTCAGCATGCTCAAGGATTGAAAGGAAAATGTGAACACAGGCTGATCACGGTGGCTTATGCCTGTAATCCCAGCACTTTGGGAGGCTGAGGTGGGCAGATCACTTGAGGCCAGGAATTTGAGACGAGCCTAGCCAACATAGTGAAACCCTGTCTCTACTAAAAATACAAAAATTAGCCAGGTGTGGTGGTGTGTGCCTGTAATCCCAGCTTGGGAGGCTGAGGCACAAGAATCACTTGAACCCAAGAGGCAGAGGTTGCAGTGAGCTGAAATAAAGCCACTGCACTCCAGCCTGGGCAATAGAGTGAGACTCTGTCTCAAAAAAAAATTACAAAAAGAACAAGAAAAGAAAATGTGAACATACGAGGAAAGAAATGGAAAATATCAAAACAAATCAGATGGGAACTTCTAGAAATGAAAAATACAATATCTGAATAAAAAACTGACTGGATGTGATTAAAAGTAGATTAGACAGTGCATAAGAAAAGGCTGATAAATCTGAAGACATAGCAACAGGAACTATGCAAAATGAAGCACTGAGGGGGAAAAAGACTGAAGAAAATTAGTAGTCTTAATGACCTATGAAACAATAGGAAGTATTTAACAAATGTGTAATTGGATTCCCAGAAGGAGAAGTGCAGGCAGAAAATATATTTGAAAAAATAATGGTTGAAGTTTTTCAAAAACTGATGAAAACAATAAACACACAATCCAAGAAGCTCAACCAACCCCAAGCAAGAGAAACACAAAGAAAACTTCAACACACATCATAATACAATATCTAAAAACCATTAAGAAAAAATCTTAAAAGTAGCCAGAGAATAAAACGATACACTATGATCAGAAATGAAAACTATGTCTATCCATAAAAAAGAATGAGATCATGTCCTTTGCGGCAACATGGATGCAATTAGAGGCCATTAGCCTAAGTGAATTAACGCAAAAATAGGAACCCAAATATCGCATGTTCTCACTTATAAGTGGGAGCTAACTTTTGGGTACACATGGACATAAAGATGGGAACAATAGAAACTGGGAACTACTAGAGAGGGGAGGGAGTGAAGGGGAGTAGGGGTTGAAAAACTACCTATTGCATACTATGCTCACTATCTGGGTGACGGGATCAATTGTACCTCAATCCTCAGCATTACACAATATGCCCAGGTACTTTCATTATTAAGTACCAGATTTTTTGTATTATTTAGAGCTTGTTGGACTTTATTCTGGTAGGCAGTTAACAAACCTGCATATATAACCCCTGAATCTAAAATAAAAGTTGAAATTATTTAAAAAAGAATAAAATATCAAAAAAAGAAAGTTACTTGGGATTTTGTTGATAATTTAGGTTTTAATGTGTCTGTGAAATGCAAAGACTTTTGCTGGTCAATGCCAGTGACCAAGATGAACCATGGAAACATTACGTATTAGTCAGCTCTCACAATGCTAATAAAGATATACACAAGACTGCATAATTTATAAAGAAAAAGAGGTTTAATGGACTCACAGTTCTACATGACTGGGGAGGCCTCACAATCAAGACAGAAGGCAAAACATGGTGGCAGGCAAGAGGACATGTGCAGGGGAATGCCCCTTTATAAAGCCATCAGATCTCATGAGACTTGTTCATTATCATGAGAACAGCATGGGAAAGACCCATCCCCATGATTCCATTACCTCCCACCGAGTCCCTCTCATGACACATGGGAATTACAGGAGCTACAATTCAAGATGAGATTTGGGTGGGGACACAGCGAAACCACATCACATTAGTTCAAGTAAGCAAATGGTTAGAGGTTGACAGAAAAAAAAAATCACTTAAATTAGTGAAGTGCTCTTTCCCGTTATGATATATATTTGAGTTTCCTCTTAGCTTATGAATAAACATGTGTACTTACATATAGTAGTGATAAAAATTCAAACTATTCCACAGTTCTATTTTAAAATGGCATGTTTTATATTTTTTTGTATAATTAATCTTAATTGCAAAAATGTGTATACTTAATCTCAGTGAAAATAAAGCTGTCACCTAAGAAAGAGAAGGAAAGAAAGAAAGAAAGAAAGAGAGAAAGAAAGAAAGAAAGAAAGAAAGAAAGAAAGAGAAAAGGAAACTATGTAAGACAAAAGACAAAAGACAATGGAGCAGTATCTTTAAAGCAATAAAAAATCACCAACCCAGAATTCTATGTTGAACAAAAATATCTCTCCAAAATGAAGGGGAAATACTTCTTTCAAAACAACAAAGGCTGTGAGAATTTGTCCCTTGCAAACCTGAACTACTAGAAATGCTAAAGAAAATTCTTCGGAGAAAAGGCAAATGATATCCTAAGGAAGTTTAGATAATACTAGAGTTTCTCAACCTCAGCAACTATTGACATTGGGGACTAGATAATTCTTCATTGTGAGAGACTGCCCTGTGAATTGTAGAATGTTTAGCAGCATCCCCGGCCTCTACTCACTTAATGCTAGCAGCAACCAATCACACCCCTCACCCAAATTGTGACAACAAGAAATATCCCCAGACATTTCCAAATGTCCCTTGGGGCACAAAATATCTTCTATCTCTACCCCTCCTCTCTCTCCATTGAGAAACACTGATATCCACAAAAGAATGAAGAATGCCAGAAATGATAGGGAAAGAGAATCCTGAATGAAAACAATGACGACAGTTTGACTTGCAAATAGTATCTCAATAGCTTTTGTTTCTTTATGATTAATTTAATAATTAATTCCTAACTAAAGAATTAACTATTGCTAAAGAACTAATTTGTATGCATAGGTAAGATATAACTCGTAACACAGGAATAGAGAACAAGGAATTTTAAAATCTAAATAATATATACTTATTATAGAAAATTTAGCAAACATATAAAAGTAGAAGGGAGAACTTCATTATCCTGTCATCCAAACATAACATTCATTAACATTTGGTCTAAGTCCTTCAAGTGATTTTTTTCTATACATACTTGACCATTATTATGACATCCATACACACACACACACATTAGTTTTTGTTAACATTTCATATATAATAAATCCTTATGCTAATGTTAAAAGAAAAACTTTAGACAAATTAAATTTAACTGAGTTTAATTAAGTAAAGAACAATTCATGAATTGGGCAGCCCTCCTAGCCCCCCAACCAGAGTAAGTTCAGAGAAACTCCAGTGTTGCTGCACAGCGAAAGAGGATTTATGGACAAAAAGGAAAGTGAAGTAACAGAAAACAGAAGTGAGGTACAGAAACAGTCAGATTGGTTACAGCTCAGTGTTTGCCTTATTTGAACACACTTTGAACAGTTGGCTGCCTGCAAGTGGCTAAAGTATGACTTCTGTGATTGGCTGAGACTCAGTTACTTGTTACAAGAGTAGGTTATGGTCTATTTACAGTCCAGTTAGGTTACAGGTCACTATGTAGGGAGAAACCTTACCAAGGTTTCTGAACTTACAAGAAGGCAGCTTTAAGCTAAACTTAATTTAACAATAAAAAATGTTTAATGGCAGAACAATATTCTACCATGTACCATACTGTTTTTCTTAACTCTTTATCTTATTGGTGGATATTTAGGCAATTCTAATGTTTTACTTTTATTATAATGCTGTAATAATAATCTTTATGGAAAACTATTTTTCCCATGTCTTGAGTTATTTTCTTAATAGAAATTTCCAGGACTGGGCGCAGTGGCTCACACCTGTAATCCCAGCATTTTGGGAGGCCAAGGTGGATCACTGAGGCTAGGGGTTCAAGACCAGCCTGAACAACATGGTGAAATAAAATTAAATAAAATAAAATTTCTCAGAAATGTCTTCTTTTATTTATTTATTTATTTTTTTTGGAGGGAGGGAGTCTCGCTCTGTCACCCAGACTGGAGTGCAGTGGAGTGCAGTGGCACGATCTCGGCTCATTGCAAGCTCTGCCTCCCAGGTTGACGCCATTCTCCTGCCTCAGTCTCCAGAGTATCTGGGACTACAGGTACCTGCCACCTCGCCTGGCTAATTTTTTGTATTTTTAGTAGAGACAGGGTTTCACCGTGTTAGCCAGGATGGTCTCGATCTCCTGACTTCGTGATCTACCCACCTCGCCTCCCAAAGGCAGGGATTACAGGCATGAGCCACCGCGCCCAGCCAGAAATGTCTTCTTTAGGTTAGACAATAGTTGTTTTTTTTTTTTTTTTTTTTTTTTTAAGACAGAATCTCACTCTGTCACCCAGGCTGGAATGCAGTGGTTCAATCTGAGCTCACAGTAACCTCTGCCCCCTGGTTTCAAGGGATTCTCCTGCCTCAGCCTCCCGAGTAGCTGCGACTACAGGCATGAGCCACCACGCCCAGCTAATTTTTGTATTTTTAGTAGAGACAGGGTTTCACCATATTGGTCAGGCTGGTCTCGAACTCCTAACGTCAAGTTATCTGCCTGCCTCGACCTCCCAAAGGGCTGAGATCACAGGCATGAGCCACCACGCCTGGCCATAGCCAATAGCTTTTTAAGGGCTGGAACTGTCCTAGTCAATGTTGTATTGCCCTACATAATTGACACAGAAAGTATTTAGCAGAAATTCAGTCAATTGTTCTATGCCTTTAAGCCGAATTTAAAGCTATGAAATAGATCTCTGACAGCAGCGTTTACATTAGCCAAGTCGTGCAAACTATACATGTCGAGAAAAACAAAACCTACCCTAGTGAAAGGATATACCTGAAAGCCAGTTTGCCCATACATTTCTACTAAATTTCAAATGAATTTTTCAAATTGCAGTATCACTCTTACCTGCAACAGAAGCAAAGGTAAATTTTCAGGGGTGTACTCCCTTCTTAGGCAGCTCTCTAGCTCCCTCTGCATGATGTCCGCCTGAACAACAAAGGACTTCGACTCGGCCACCTAAACCCAAATAACTAGTTTTAATATCCCAAATTAAAGAACTGTAAAATTTCAGATATCACAAAATCAGACTTTTCCAAGGAAATAATGGTCTGCTCTGATCCAGTGGTAAGCTGAATAGTGGCCTGTTCTCATAAATACTGTTAATAGCATCAGCTGTTTGTCTGCAAAAATAAACTGTTCCTGCTAAAAGTTACCAATCAGAAAAATCAAACTTACTGTTGTATTGAAATAGCCTACTCTCCTACTCACCTGTAAGGTTTTCTTCAGTGCCAGTTCCCTCTCTCTTCTAAAGTAATAAATATCCTTTGGCGTTTGAACAGAGCTGCAGAAAGATTTATGCAATATAAGTAGTAATTACAGAAGCTGTAATCGACCGGATTATAGACAGGCCATGATTAATCTGTAACTCTTCACAACTGCTCATTTCTGAATAAGTATATCATATTATACTGAATTATTGAGGGCATGCAAAGGCCACATCCTTTTGTTTTGGTTAGAATCTTTTTTGACTCTTCTTTGATTAGCATGTTTGCTAAACCTTTCCCTGGGCCAGTTTTTCTCTCTCCTCCCCATACAAACAGAGTATTTCGTTCTACCCTTGATTCACCTCACTATTTCCTACTGCAGAGTAAAGGGAGGGACACAATGGTGAGGATTTTTATTTCCCCAACTGTATTCCCTCCAGCAACCTTATCTCTGACAAATATTGTGCCTCTCAGATCCCACTTTCACCCTAACTGGCACATAAAACCAATATCGTGTAATTTAAAATAAAATGCTTCTATTTTTGTGTTCTTGATGAATTATCTGCTGGGGGGTGGGAGTGACTCTTAAATATCAAAGATGAAATACTTCAGGAATCATTTTAACCAAACTTAAGGCTTCAGGAAAATTATTGATTCCTAGGAAAAACATTTATAGCAGAAGCGCCTGTTTAAGCAGCCTTGTGGATTCCTGTTTACACCGTTATGAGGGAGCTGTTGTTTTTACCATGGACTCTGATACAAGGAGGCACAAGCTGTGGGGTCACCTGGTAAGGGGGTGGGACGCTGGGTTGGGAACAGCAGAGTGCTCCACATTTGGGATAAGATATATCCCAAGGTTTGGCAGCTTTGGAAATATCAGGAAACAGCAACCCTGATGCCAACATCACTTTCTCAAGATAGTATTTTGCAGACATTGGTAAGGGGCCAGAGCAGGTAGTCTAGAAAACAGGTGAGAGACCACCTAGAGATTATGAAGGAGGTGTAAGCAGTGACATTTAGGTTAATATTGTTCATATGGCCCTATGAGTTCCCAGATAAGTTTTAAGGGAAGATAAAAATACACTGTTAGTTTGTACACTTGCCAGCAATTTCCCCTACTACAGGCAGTGGTTCTGTGAAAAGAACCCCAGGCTGACAGTCAAGAAATCCATCAGCCAAGTGAGCCTAAGCAACCCATTTAGACACATTGTGTCAAATTTCCAGCCCTGAAGCTGGAGATAATGCCCCTCTTATCTCCTAATATCTTTGCTTTAATGGGGTGGGGGAAGAAAAAAGAGTTGAGCTCTGAAAGGGATTTGAGAATAAAAACAGTAATAAACCTAAGGTATAATTTCTGTGATTCTGAATCCTGGCTGCAGCGTTGTGGCAGTGAGGAACAAGTAACCAACCAGAAAAGGGATTAGCTATTACCAGGTAGGTAGAGAAACACAAGAAACTTTCCCCTGCCCTCTGGTCTTCTTATCTTTGGCATACTGGGAGATGAGGAGGGTCATGGGCTTAGCTACCCAGCTCTGTCTCATTCGGATCTTGTCTTTCCTCTCAGTTAACCTCAAAGTGCCTGTGAATGACCCAGAAGAAACTGGTGAACATAAGTAGTGTGTATATCAACCTGCAAAAAGAGATTTACTCCCATATTCATCAAGCATTGTTCATTCAACATACATTCATTCATTTATTCATTCAGCAAGAGTTTATGAAACACTTAACCATTGCAAAGTCTTGGGTTTGTGGAGTGAAACGAGGGAAAGGATGCAAAAAAAAAAAAAGGGAAAATGATTAAGACACACAGTTCTCCAGGCCTCAATAGATTTTTCAGTCTAGTGGAATGAGAATGTTAAAGTGGTTATCGGGAGTGGATATTTCCATGTTCCTTGGACTCTAGAACCTAGCACAGCACCTGGAAAACAGAAGGTGCTCAAGAAGCATTTGTTAGACTAATAGATTCTTCCAGGTGCAGTGTTGGGTGGTTTGGGGAAGTAGACAAATAAGGCAATCCAGGATTTCCCATCACTCGATTCTAAGAGACATCAGAAAGCCTTTCTTATCCCAGTGTACACTGGGGAGTCACTTGCCTGACATTCTGACATTTAAATCATAAGAATATCAACACTCCATCTTTGCATTGTGTTTTCTTGTTTTAAAAATACTTTAACATGCATTATCTCATTATCCTCATAACCTTATGTAGGTAGGCAAGGTACTAACCTCATTTTTCAAATAAAGAAACCAAAGTTGAGAGAAATTATGACTTGCATGGTTCCATGATCTTTCCATCTCATCACACAATCTGATTTGCTTCAGACACCTGATGGTTTTAAATACTAATTAAAAAACATATGAAATGCTGGTTCTTCAGAATTGTCTTTGGAATGAAGTACTAATTCACCTGCTTACTGCATCTTCTGACCTCTCCAAACCTCTCACCATCCATATTGTATTTTCTCAATGATTCAACTTAACAGGGTTCTTATACTGCTCCTTTTGATCAATTGCGGCAGTAACAGAAACAGAGGGATATGAAGGTCCTGGCCCCATGAGACTTGTCATTAGGGCCTGACCTATGTCTCTTGTTTCTCTACAAGGACTTGATTGCTGTTGTTGGCAGCATTTACCTATAGAAGAGCTCCTGATGAAACAGGCTGGCTGGCTTCCTGTTGTGATCTGCTCTAGAGGAGAAGAACAAAAGCCCCTCTCGCTCTAGCTTACATAACTCTCAGCAAATCAGTAGCAAAAGACCCAAGAAGTTATTAACAGCGAGTTCCTACTTTGGGGGGCTAGAGACTTCCACGAAGCCCCACCTGTGCAGTTAGAACTAAAACTCAACCTGTAGTTACCCCTTCCTCATTTTTGTGCTAAGAATAATGCCTTGGGTGGAGATTTAAAATGCTACTGCTACATCTGATGTATGAAGAAGCATGTTAAGCCACTGCATGAGCACTAGAAACTGCACCCCAGTCCCCCCACCATATATGCCCTGATGTAACCCTTCTCTATCAAAAGATCCTATAAAACTAACCCACACACTACCCTTGGAGAGCAGCTCTTTCCTTTTCCTTTCTTGGTGCTGGCTCCCTTGTGCACAAGCTGAATAAACTTTCCTTTGCTGCTCTGTTTGGTGATCTCTCTTGATTTCTATCCTGGCAGAGAGCAAGAATCCACAGTTCTGGTAACACTCACAGAATATCGTTTTGCATAATGTATTACCAAATGCCTACCATTATTTCAGCTTTTAAATTTCTCACCAAAATCAAGGTCGAATTCAATTAAAATATTATTGGGTAAAATGAGATCTCCTTTCACTGAGTATGATTTGTATTACAGCTTCTGTAACTTTAAGACAATAGCATTAGTTAACATGTAAAAACACTTTTACATTTTCTTTGGTAAGACTTTTGCTTGGATCTGTCTTAACAAATCTAGAATATAGAAAAATCTTAGAGGCAGCAATCAGGTTAGAAATGGGTACCTGCAACTGCTATTATATACTATCTATCTGAACTGGAGATAATGCCAGTTGTCCATGTAAAAAGAAGAAAGGGTGCTGATGGAGATTATGGAGTGAGAGTGGGAAGTAAAGCCCTGAAGATCACACCTTCTAACTGCCACTATTTACCTGTAAACTCGATTAGTTGTTCCCTGAAGAGCTCCCTGCTCTTCTATCTCAGACTTCAGTTCAGTCAGTTGCACAGCCAGTTTTTTCTCCAACAGCTGGACCCTTTCTGTGGAAGTGATCTTATAAATTTCATCCATGATTTGCATTTGCTGTTTTTCTGTATCCCTGAAAAAGAGGATCACAAAGCTTGATGCCCTCAGTGACCATTACCCAGCATGTGGAACTTTGTCTATTTTTGTCCAAGAAATCATGTGGACTCTGTAGAAATGCATGCATTTTGCTATTAGACTGTTGTCATTTGTGATTTAATTAACATCTAGTAAACAGTAGAGAAAAAGTCGATCAGAATCTCCATGGGTTATGCCTTTGATTAACCCAGTTCACCTTCAAAAACATCTCTGCTTCAGCTTTGGCTGTTGGGGTTTAATAAGCGAAAATGCACCTCCCCTCAACCCCTCACCTCTGCAGTCTTGATAAATGTTTGTGGGGATTACACACCAACTACTGTGAGTGGCAGTTATTGCTGACTTCTAATAAAAAATTGTACTTTTACATTTGAATGTGTTTTCTTAATTTTGACTGCCTACATTTAGCACACAGGTTTTACCATTAAATACCAGCTGATAAACTCCCACCCCACCTCACCTGGTTCACAGTCTGTCAAATTCAACGTAATTGTTTGTTAAGTACTTAGTGTCAACATTCTCATTAACAATGTAGATTAACTGCATGACTCAGAAGTCCTGGGACCCATAAATTGCAGGGGATTCAACAGATGACATATTTCTTTGTGTTACTGCTGCCCTCACCTGTCCTGGACAAGTAGGAGTTAAGTCTCACTTAGGCCACATTAGAGAGATTTATAATACTTAAACCTTCTTTTTTTCCTTTGATATTTCTAGGTTCTCATCTTTCCTTTCGAGATATTTCATTTTCTCAAGTTAATATGCTGTCATTTCAACAAATAATTAAGCTGTAGAGATGTTTTGTCTAGAGGCTTCCTTTGGGAGCCTATTTATTCTTTTTCTAAATATATTAAAAATGGAAATGAGCATCCATGTTCAGTCCAGGTTGTGAACCTGATAGTAATAAATCTGTCATGTTTGGCATGCCATTGGAGCTCAATAAAATGCACTGTTATTGTTCTTAGCAAAAGTAAAATGTTGTTATAGAAAATATTTGCCATTTGGCAGCGTCCTTTCAAGTTGGACGAACAGTTAAACAACTGCCTTAACAGCTGCATTCCAATCGGCAGCCAAGAGTGGGAGCAACATAGACTGGCTGATTATTCTCCCACAGGACAGACATTCTGCCTTCATTACTTGATTAGTTTCAACACTTCACAGCTCAGAAATGAGAACATTTAATCCTGTACTGTTTAGCTTGCAACACAGTCAAGTACAGTATTCAGAAAATTAACATAAAGGGGTCAGTCTTTGACAACAGTCCATGAAATGAATCCAACCCAGAGAAATACATGCCTGCTGAGCACTCATGTCTAGGTTTAAAGAGACAACTGTTTACGTGGAGGGGTATGGGAGGTGTGCTTCATTTATTGAGAACCTACCATGTGTCAGGCAAGCACTGGGGCCTCATTTAGTCTTAGAAAAGAGATTGCGAGAAAAGAGAATTTCTTCAATCATGTTTTTAAAAATAAGTACATTTAATTATTTGTAATTCATAATTACATATCATACATAATTTTATGCATTTAAAAGTGGTTAAAATTTAAGACAAAAATAGTAAGATCAGCTTGAGCAAGGTTTGGGGGTGTTCAATATGTGGTTACAGCAGGCTTGGATGGGGATAAAGCAGGCATGTTTAGAAGAGAAATACTGAGTAACTATTTTAAGTTTCAAGGCGATTAGTAAAAGAATAGAAATGCATCCTAGATGAGTTCATGTCCTTTGTAGGAACATAGATGAAGCTGGAAACCATCATTCTGAGCAAACTATGGCAAGGATAGAAAACCAAACACCGCATGTTCTCACTCATAGGTGGGAAGTGGACAATGAGATCACTTGGACACAGGGTGGGGAACATCACACACTGGGGCCTGTCGTAGGGTGTGGGGAGAGGGGAGGGATAGCATTAGGAAATATACCTAATGTAAATGACGAGTTCATGGGTGCAGCACACCAACATGGCACACGTATACATATGTAACAAACCTGCATGTGGTGCACATGTACCCTAGAACTTAAAGGATAATAAAAAAAGGAAAAAATAAAAATAAAAAAATAATAAAAATATCTGTATCTATTTAAAAAAAGAAAGAAAGAAAGAAAAGACAGACAGACAGACAGACAGAAAGAAAGACAAAGAAAGAAAGAAAGAAAGAAAGAAAGAAAGAAAGAAAGAAAGAAAGAAAGAAAGAAAGAAAGAAAGAAGGAAAGAAAAGAAATGCATCCTAGAGCTTCCCAAAGAAGTGGGAGTAAGGGGTGAGATAGGACTTTTAAATCCAATAAACAGTGGTCCCCAACCTTTTTGACAACAGGGATTGGTTTCGTGGAAGACAATTTTTCCATGGATGGGAAGCAGCGGGTGGCCGGGAGGAGGGATGGTTTCAGGATGAAACTGTTCCACCTCAGATCATCAAGCATTAGTTAGATTCTCACAAGGAGCATGCAACCTAGATCCCTCACATGCACAGTTCACAATAGGGTTCATGCTCCTGTGAGAATCTAAATGCTGCTACTGATCTGATCGCAGGAAGTTCAGATGGTAATGCTTGCTTGCCTGTGCTCACCTCCTGCTGTGTGGCCCAGTTCCTAACAGGCCACTGATCAGTACAGGTCCATGGCCTGGGGGTTGGGGACCCCCGCAATAGAAGGTAAGAAAAGTAGGGGAGCGGAAACAAAACAAAGTATGGCAGAATTAAGTTCAAGTGTAACAGTAATTATAATAAATGTAAATGGTTAAGCTCATCAAAATACATAAATTAGCACAGCTTCAGGTGTTTTAAAGGCTCCAAAACTTGATAATGTGATACATACCAAAATAAAACAATTATTTTTATTCTAGCAAATGCCAGAATTTAAACTGATAAGCAAACTGGTCCCATATCACTGTGGGCCAATCCAATTCTCTTTATTGATCGGCACAGATAGACACTCTGTAACCTTCTTGGGTAAATATTTTTGGTGCGTAGTCATCTTGATCATCAAATGCTTTCAAATCATCTATGCTTTCAAATGAAATGCATTACATGCCAGCTTCTGCATTAATAGGGGTGTGGCTAAGCAAAAAGACACCACCACCAGTGGCTAAAAGAACAAACTCAAGCCTATAATCCCAGCACTTTGGGAGGCTGAGGCGGGTGGATCACTTGAGGCCAGGAGTTTGAGATCAGTCTGGCCAACATGGCGAAACCCCACCTCTACTAAAAATACAAAAACTAGCCGGACGTGGTAGCATATGCCTGTGATCCCAGCAACTCAGGAGGCTAGGCAGAATGGCTTGAACCCAGGAGGCTGAGGTTGCAGTGAGTACCACTGTACTCCAGCCTGTGTGACACAATGAGGCTCTGTCTCCAATCAATCAATCAATCAATCAATCAAAGAAAAAAGATCTTTTAAGTTTCTCTAACCTAACGGTGCTAATGTAAATGGTCCAGGGTTGTAGAGCAGCCCCACTACTAAATGGGCACTCAACGGCCCAGGTTCCTTCCAAGTCTGCTTCATCATCCCCTAGGCATTGTTCAGATAAACACATTAGTGTTTTCCCTTCATTGTGTCTATAGAACATGGGGGACATGAGATAAATATATTTGATGGTCTGAGTTGAATAACCTGCTTCTACTTCTAGTTTGCTGAGAGGTTTATTTTAATTTTTTCTTGAAAGGGTGAATTATGTCAAATGCTTTTTCTGCATCTATTAATCATGTGATCTCCCTCATATATTTGTTAATGTGGTTAATTTCACAGATTTTCAAAAGTTAATCCAAAATTGTGTTTTTAGAATGAACTTCATTTGGTCATAATTTGTTATCTTTTTTTATAGAAAAGTTTATTCAATTTTCTGCTATGTTGTTTATAATGTTTGTATTTATGTTCATGAGAGACATTGGCCTGTCATTTTTCTTATAATGTTTTTGTCAGATTTTGGTATCAAGATTATGCTGGCTTCACAAGACATGTTGTGAAGTGCTCTCTATTTTCTGAAGAACGTTTATAATTGCTATATTTTTCCTTAAATGTTTGGAATAAGTCATCTCTGAAATATAGTAAACTGAAGTTTTCTGTATGGGAGGACTTCAATTACAGATTCAATTTTTTAAACAGCTATATAACTATTCAATTTTTTATTTATTTTTGTGTTCATTTTATTAAGACTTTTAAAAGAGCAGTTTGATATATAAGTACATTTCATCTAAGTAGACGAATTTTGAGGGGAGTGAGGTTTTTCATAATATCCTCATACTTTTTAACAGCTTTGTTGAGATATAATTAACACACCATCTGATTAACCCACATGAAATGCACAATCAATGCTTTTTATTTAGTATATTCACAGAGTTGTGCAATCATGACCATAATCAATTTTAGAACATTTCATTACACTAAAAAGAAACCCTTTTGCCATTACCTGCCACTCCTCATTTTTCTCTAAGCTACCTCTTCTCCCTAACAATAGGCAACCACTACTTGACTTTCTGTCTCTACATATTTATATGAACATTTCATATAAATGGAACCATACAATATGCGGTCCTTTGTGACTGGCTTCTTTCACTTAGCATGTTTTCAAACGTCATCCTTGTTGTAGCATGTATCAGCACTTCATTCATTTTCAATGACTGAGTGATATTTCATTGAAAAACTATACTACATTTTATTTGTTCATCAACTGATGGACATCTGGGTTGTTTCAATTTGGGGGCAATTATAAATAACACTGCTATGAACATTCATATACAAGGTTTTGTGTACATCTGTTTTCATTTCCCTTGGGTATATGTGTAGGAGTGGAATTACAGGGTAAATATGTTTGACCTTTGAGAAACTGCCAGGCTGTTTTCCAAAGTGGTTGTACCATTTTATATTCCAATCAGCCACATATGAGAGAATTCCAATTTCTCCACAGCTTTGCTAACACCTGTTACTATCTGTCTTTTTAATTTAAGCCATACTAGTTGGTGTGAAGTGGTATCTCATTGCGGTTTT